ACTGTATGTATGTATGTATGTATGTATGTATGTATGTATGTATGTGCATGTGTCATCTACATGTACATGCACGGATTAACTACAGCACTTGAATGAAAACACTGATGAGGGCAAAGACCATGGAGAATCAACACATGGAGAGAATACTCACCCCTATGAAAACAGTGGTCCCAGATTATCCCTGCTATGAATATAAATGGAATGAAATGTAGAACAGTTGTTAGGATATGTTCAAATTATGTTTTAAACCTCTAAAAGTGACTGTGGTCACTTTTAGAAGTTTAAAACATTGAAGCATCCAGTTTCAGATGTAATTTTAGCAAGCAGTCTGGAAACCAAAGCATGTGATTCCATCTCCTCCTCCTATTTTTTTTAATAATAGAAAGCATTTTAGTTAGAATATTCTGGACATGTGATGCGACACCCAGAAAAATATGCCATACTTCACTTAATCCCCCCGGGAAAGATTGATGGCAAATGAGGTCCAGGCAGAAGAAGAACATCATGGCTTCAAAATCTAAGGGACTGGTTTGGACAAAACTCAACAGCACTTTTTGGTGAGGCTGTTGATAAAAATAGGATTGCCAACATGATTGCCAACGTCCGATGACGGATATGGCACAACAACAAGAAGAAAGTGTTTTGGAGAAAAAGTTTATGGCAGAGTAAGATAATCCGGCATAATCTGAAGGTTGCATTTTTTTTTCTTGTGTGCCAAAATCAGACTCACTGACATATAGAAGAAGGAGGTTATTTGAGATGCCTGGAATTGTTTTTGTATGATTTGTATTTTGTATGTTTTTGGAGATATATATCAAGGAACAGGTGGAGGAGGAATCTGCAGGTGGACACTTAGCAGGAACACCAAGGGGTAGATTTGCTGAGCAAGCTATTCAGAGGTGGACATCACATAATGTAACAACCGGTTCGTCGAGAACTGAAAATGTGAGTGCGTGCCTTCTGTGCATGCGTGCAGCATCAAACACACGGTGATTATATAGGATGGGATAGCGCTGAGGCGGGTGGCCAGGTCCAGCCGCTGGTCGGAACTACCAGTTCGCCTGAACTGGTCCGAACCGACAGCAGCCCACCTCTGAAGCTATTGGTGGAGCTTTTGGAAAACATTAGCAAAAAGAGCCTGTCAAAGTTATTAGAATCCAGCAAGCCCAGAAACTTTTTCCTTTCTTATTCCCCCCTTCTCTAGGCTGCCAGGGACCTCAGAACTAAAAATACCAATAGATATTGTGTGAGTCAGAGAAGGAGGTAGTGAAACAAATAAGAGACTTTCTGTGTAGTGCTGTACATTATGTATAGTTTATTTAGCCAAACGCCCAAAGCCACTTTGCCAACAGGTCAAAGCATGTTAGAAACACGCACAAATTATCTACCAAAAACTAGAACAGAATAGACTAGACTAGAATAGAATAGAATAGAATAGAATGGAATGGAATGGAATGGAATGGAATGGAACGGAACGGAAGGGAAGGGAAGGGAGGGGGAGGGAGGGAAGGGAAGGGAAGGGAAGGGAAGGGAATGGAAGGGAAGGGAAGGGAAGGGAAGGGAAGGGAAGGGAAGGGAAGGGAAGGGAAGGGAAGGGAAGGGAAGGGAAGAGAAGAGAAGCTGGAAGGGACCTTGGAAGTCTTCTAGTCCAGCCCCATGCTCAGGCAGAAGAACCTATACCATTTCAGACAAGTGATTGTCTAGTCTCTTCTTAAAAACCTCCAGAGATGGATTACCCACAATTTCTGGAGGCAAGCTGTTTCACTGGTTAATTGTCCTCACTGTTAGGAAGTTTCTCCTTAATTCCAGGTTGCTTGTCTCTTTAATTAGTTTCCAACCATTATTTTTTGTTCTGCCCTCTGGTGTTTTGGAGAATAATTTGTCCCTCTCATCTTTTTGGCAGCCCCTCAAATACTGGAATACTGCTATCATGCCACCCTTCATTCTTCTTTTCTTTAGACTAGCCAGACCCAAAACCTGCAGCCATTCCTCATATGGTTTAGTCTCCAGGCCTTTGATCATCTTAGATGCTCTTCTCTGAACTTTTTCCAAAGTCTCAACATCTTTTTTGTAGAACGGTGGCCAAAACTGGTTGCAGTATTCCAGGTGTGGTCTTACTAAGGTTTTGTAAAGTGGCACTAATACGTCATATACTGATCTTGATTCTATGCCTCTGTTTATACAACCCAGGATTGTTTTAGCTTTTTTGGATGCTGTTGCACATTGCTGGCTCATGTTCAAATGATCGTCCACAACAATAAAGCCTAATTTGGATTAATTTGGAGAAGCACAGGGTGAATATCTTTGCAACATTACTGTCCTCTTTTTTCAGACTTTGAAAGAAGAGAAAAGGAATGGCAATTGGAGCTGGTATGCTACCTGATACCAACAAGGAAAACCTTTATTCTGCTATCCCAAAGGTGTTTTTTCAAGAGGCAACTGGATTTTCTGTTTTTTCTTTGAAGACATTTCGCTTTGCATCCAAGAAACTTCTTCAGCTCTGACTGGATGGTGGGGAATGGAAGGATTTATACTCTTTGCAGACAACTGGTCATTTGCATTCTTTTAGCAAGCCGTTAAGGCCACCTGGAAGTTTATCTGTGTCATCAGGGTCAGCTGACTAATGCAGAGGGGTGTGGAGCCTTTTTGGAACTATTGAAAGGACTCTGTTGTAGACTGGAGATAGATGTTGTTGTATCCCTCCCTCTCTGTTGAGAGATGGCTTTTCAATTTTGACATAGATGGCCTCTTTGACCCCTCTTTAAAACCAGTGGTCCTCTCTGTCCAAAATGTGGACTTTGCTATTTTCAAAATAGTGGCCTTGTCTTTTAAATGCAAATGGATTGCTGAATCTAGTCCTGATGGTTTTGTTCTCTTATGTTGGGACAATCATATTGGGACAACCATGACCTGGATGACTGAGAATTTTCATAGACATCTGTATTCTGCTATGGGCAAAAAATGCCAGGTGACATGATGCCATATTTGTCCATTACCTTCAAATGCAATTCAATGGAAAGAATCAAAAGTGATTCATGATGGCCTGCACGTACATCCACTTTCACCCAGATGCTAATGGGATCGAAGCTATTGTTGAGTAATTAGCAACGGGATCTTAGAGTCACGGGGAACAGCTCAATGTAAATGCCAGCTCAGAGTGCAACTGTTGTAAAAATGTATTCAATATTATTATCAGCATTAGAGCAGTTCCCCTCTGAAAAAAAGGCTAGAATATCTGCAGTATTTTAATTCGAAGTGAATAGAAAATAGGAAACATGATAAACCTACATCAAATAATGTATGGAATAAAAAATATGGACAAAAATGTTTTCCCTCTACCATAATGTAGTGTCGTTCTATAAAACTAAATATAGACAGATTCAAGAGCAATCAAAGTTAGCATTTCTTTAGATGACACAGTGTAGGTAGGTATGGGATTTCATGGCCATCAGATGTGATAGAACACAGAACCTCAGGGCTGAAAGGACTCTTATCCTCTAGCCCAGCCCTTTTTCAGACCTTATATCTGTGATGGCTAATCTATGGCACATGTGCTAAAGGTGGCACCCAGAGCCCTCTCTGTGGGCATGTGTGACGTCGCCAGCTGCTCTTCTGGTTTCTGGTGCCCACGGTCAGCTGGTCTTTGCGGGTGCCGGAGTGCAGAAAAACGCCCCCCCCAAAAAAGGCAAAATGACAGGAAAAAAACAGGCTTTTTTTGGGCCGTTTTCAGGCTTTTGTTCGGGCCGTTTTCAGGCTGTTTTTCAGGCCATTTTCTGAAAAATGGCCTGAAAAACAGTCCAAAATGGCAAAAAAACCCCACCCCAGGCCATTTTTGGGCTATTTTTCAGGCTATTTTCAGGCCATTTTTCAGGCCGTTTTCTGAAAAATGGCCTGAAAAACAGTCTGAAAACGGACCGAAAAACAGCCAAAAAACAGGCATGTGCGTGCCAGCCAGTTGGTCTTCGGGTTTCTGGCATGTGCACATTCATGCACATTCCAGTTTGGGCACTCGGTGCCGAAAAGGTTTGCCATCACTGCCTTATACCATTGCAGTTAAATGGTTGTCGAGTCTGTTTCTGAAAATCTCGAGTGACGGATTGGTGAAGTTACTGATTTAAATGATTTAAAAAAAGGGGACTGGACAAATTCATGGAAGATTACCTATTCATAGTTGCTAGTCTTGAAGGCAGTTTTAAATGATTTTCTATCATTCCTTAAATACAACATTGAAGATGTTAGTGGCTATAGTGGAAGAAAAGTGGATAGGCCATTAACTATTTTTAATCCTACTCTCATTGGTACATTAAGATTTTCTTTTTTCTGAATTTTCTGAATTTCTCCAGGGGCCACTGTTGTGGTAAGAAAAGATAAATTTGAATGCTAACTATAATTTCACTACCTTACTTGAAAACAACAAAGATTCATTTATTTTACCAGTGAAATCTTCAAAAAAATTATGAGGGGCTTCTGTTTAATGTTAAAAGCAGTCAGTCAGCCAACCAGCCAGCAAAACATATTTCTAATATACAAAATTAAACATAATTCTGCACTTCATTTCTCCTTTTATATTTTTTCCCCAATCTCTTGTGCCTGGGCAGTCTCAAGCTATTTATTTACTCCAGTTACATCTTTCCAACTCTTTCTAGGATTATGAATGTTTACAGTCACAAACCAACAATTAAGACATCCTTAGATAAAATAATCAATGAACAATTTAAAACATTCAGAGTAATAATGTAATAATAATCTATAAATTAATATTATAATCCAGCCAAATAATATTGATGAAAAAATTATTAGCCAATAATAAAAACAACAACAATAAATTATGAACATGGTCTTCTCCATATTTTTTGATGTGGGGGGGGGGGAGAGTGTTGACACTTTTGTGAAACTTGAGGTTCTCACAAAGTGTGCCCTGTATTAACATATATGAAAAATGACCCTGATACGAACCTTCTCAGTAAACAAATCAGACAAAGGATAATATACGTACGTACCAGTTTCCTGGTCATGATCTGTGACTTCATTTGGAAAGCTGCTAAAACCATGAGAAATGATTGAACTTTTCAGCAAGAGTGTGAGAATGCTATCCATTTTCTCTGCTGATGAAAACTTGAAAGCCTATGGGGTTGAGATAGAGGCAAAGAAAACAAAGAATAACCTGAGGGCATACAGATTTGTACCATCATCCAAAAGCAAAAGAGCAAAAAGAGCAAACTCATGTGGGAATATTTTGCACCATTGAAGTTGGAAACAGCTATTAGTTTTTAAAAGAGTTGCTGGTGATCTGGTAAGAGAGATAATTTCTCAGATGGGTTTAAGGGCGAAGAAAATCACTGAAGATCAGTGGAAGTTTATCATGGCAGCTATTTCCTGGAGAAACACAAGTCCTAAAAAGTAATTAAAGTAATTAAAGGACAGCCTTACTATGCCAGAGACTGCAGCTGTGGTGTCCTGGGTGGACTTCTTATAATAGAACTTACAATGCTCACGGAAGTGGGCTATTTCTGCAGATCCTCCAGTAGTGAAGTAATGTGTTTCCAATTAATTACAAAGTAGGATACCATTTCTATTTTTCCCATTGGGAAGCTGGCTTATGTGCAGGGAGGAGGTTGAGAAAGTAAAGGTAGTAGCCATAACTGAATGAAATCAAAGACCCATCCCTTTGCAGATGATACAATACCTTGTGTGTCCAATCACACTTGGCCAATAAAGAATTCTATTCTATTCTATTCTATTCTGTTCTGTTCTGTTCTGTTCTGTTCTGTTCCATCCCGTCCCGTCCCATCCTGTCCCATCCCGCTCCATTCCACGCCATTCCATTCTTTGTTGTATGTAGCAGGATTTGGCTTCAATGGCAAAGTTGTGATTGACATCTTGTTTGTTTGATTTTTTTTTTTTTGAGGAAGGAAACATTTGAGAAGCTGCAAGCCAACATTTCAGGCTACTATTTGCTAGCCCTGCATTGCCTTAAGGTGTTTTTTGTTTTAGTAACTGCAAGGGTGCTCTCTTGCCTTTACATCTTATTAGCTCTCCATCCATCAAGAACAGGGTAATCTTATCACCAGGAAGACAAGCACCATGTCTGTTGTTCAAGACACATGTTGAGCTTTCACAATGCAAATTGCCTTCTGGTAACGGCGTATTAGAAAACAGGACAAGCCTGCGTTTTGTCTTCTGGCAAGTGCCAGGGTAATGTTTTCCTTGGGCTTGAGGCATGATTAGAGTTTTGATTCCAGCAAATTGAATGGCCCCATCTACTTCTTTGTATTCCTGACTAGAGGAAGCAGACATAAAGCAAACTGGTTGTTATGTAGCTTAATTTCTTTTCTTTAGAGTAGTGTTTCTCTACCTCCATGAGTTTAAAATGCATTTGACTTCATCATCCAGAATTCCCTAGTGGCTGGGGAATTCTGGGAGTTGAAGTCCAAACATCACAAAATCATGGAAGTTGAGGAACACCACTCAAGGGGATCTAGATAGTCCCCAGACACCATAGCATAGGTGCTTCTCTCTCATTGAGAGACTGTGCCACCAAATTGGCTGTATTTAGAATGGCTTGGAGATGATAGGTCAGTTGAAGTTCAGGAGCTTTGAATCTAATCCAGTAGGACACCCCATTCTCTTATGCATGTTCTTGTGATTCTCTTTCTCTTTCCTCATTGATTGTTGCTATTAGTGCCTTTTAGTTGTGACAGTCTATCATTTCTGGTTTGCGAGATTTTGTGCCTTTCAGCTTATTTACACACTTTTCCTTTCCATACTTTCTCTGAAGCACATTCATATGGGACTTAGTCATAGAATAAAGGGTTTTTTTAAAAAAACACACACACACACACACACACACACACACATTCACCTGAGCAATATGAATAATTTCAAAAACAGACATGAATAATCAGTAAGGCATGTTGAAACCCTGGCATGGCAAAATATAAGAGATTGAAGTATAAGGATAGGAGATCTTTATTCTGAATCTTCTGAATCATGAACTCCCTGGAAAATTTTAGGCATGCATTCTCTTGCAGCCTCAGTTATTCACCCAGGACTTTTGGGAAATGTGGGAAAGTTTTCAAATGCACTGTTAGAACAAAATGGGATCGGCTGTGTATGAACGTAATTTTCCAGTGTTTGCTCCCAATACTCCAAGCATTCCTCCGCTCAAAGATATACATGTTTTGTGAAGCTGCATAAAAATATCTATATATACAGTAAACAGATGAATAAGCGAATCAGTATCAGTTGTCAGTAGAGGCCCCATTTTGTAGTCCTGTTATAAGATGCAATTCCAGATGATCAGACTTTCTGTCTCCCAATTTTCTGAATCTAATAGAAAACATACTTCTCTATAAAGAGAGAGCCAGAGCAATTCTTATTAGGGATTCCAACAGGAAACTATACAAAAGAAATTCAATATTTAATATTACATATATTAACTGCAGCCTGCATAATATATGCGCAAAACTGGAAGAAGGAATATCCACCAACAGAAGAGGATTTAATCAAAAAAATCCTTGAATGCGCAGAGATGGACGAGCTTACAAAGGAACTTAAGGAAAGAGAGGACTCAGATTACTATAAAGTATGGTTTAGATGGTATGATTGGTGCAAGAAAAGAAAAAACGAAAAAAGGAATAAAGGGCAAAAAAAGGGGGAACGGAAATAATACTCTGTTGTTTATTTTTGTGATAATATGGATTGAATGTGCTGAAGATCAAAGTAAAGAGAAGTCGACACAAAGGAAATTAGATTATTTAAGTAGATTAAGATAAAGTTAGAATATATGTAAATAATAAGAAAGGATCACCTTAAACGAGCTGTTAACAACGGAAAAATGATTTGTATATATGTGTTGTTTGTTTTGTGTTTGTTTTTAATGTATTCAAAAATAAAAAACTTTTTATAAAAAAAAAGAAAACATACTTCTAGAGCTGAGCTGGGTTGTTTTGAGGATTTTCAGATTTTTGAAGATATTAGATGTTGTCTCTTTACATGGCTGTAACAGTACTGACATACTGAAATTAATTGCAGTTGAGGCCTACAGTTACCATGTGGTCATGGCCAAAACTGATCTGTGTGGTCTGTAAGAGTTGACACTGATTTGATAGCACATATAACCAATCAACCGGGGATGCGGTGGCTCAGTGGCTAAAACACTGAGCTTGTTGATTAAAAGGTCGGCAGTTCAGCGGTTCGAATCCCTAGTGCCGCATAATGGGGTGAGCTCCCATTACTTGTCCCAGCTTCTGCCAACCCAGCAGTTCAAAAGCACGTAAAAAATGCAAGTAGAAAAATAGGAACCACCTTTGGTAGGAAGGTAACTGTTCCGTGCGCTTTTGGCGTTTAGTCATGCCGGCCACATGACCATGGAGACATCTTCAGACAATGCTGGCTCTTCGGCTTTGAAATGGAGATGAGCACCGCCCCCTAGAGTCGGGAACGACTAGCACATATGTGCGAGGGAAACTTTACTTTAATCAATCAACCAATTAATGAACCAATTACCATGTAACAGTCTGATGAAAAAGATGTCCATCTTCCTCAAGCACTAGGATTATTCCATTATCAGATTATTTCTGAGATGAAGGAAATGGCCATCAGGAACATCACATCTGAGTGCCTTACATTTACATATCTTTTCGGTTTTCATTGTACACAGCTTCATTTATTTAGTGCTGGGTAAAAACAGTTTTATTTTGGCTTTTAGAATGTTAACAGTTTAATGGTTCCTGTGTGATTTTATTGTTATTCATAAAATGTTGTTATTTGCTGCCCTTCTATTTTTATATCACTTACACTTCATCATTCTGACATAAAGAACAGACTAGTAATATTATGGTAAATAAATAATACTAATTAGCTAATTGGTCTCACTGGAAATTGCTTTCTGAGAGCTTGCCATTACTTTTGTATTTATTCAGAAAATTATAACCTACTTTTGACTTTACACCAGAGAGGTCTACAAGAACATGAAAAAGAATATAATATAAAATCTTACGTTTAGCAAAAAAGAAGCAGCATTTATTCATTTTAATATCTTATAATCTGTCCTCATATTTTTTTTGGGGGGTGGGAATCCTTTAAGGTTCAAGCATCTGAAAGTCAATCATATTTTGAACATTACTTTATACCCCGAACAAACAGTGGTAATTCTTACTTGACTGAGCTCAGATGATTGTATTCCATGTGCCAAGGGATCTCAGGAATATATTTTTCCAGTATAATTAGGTTTGGCCTTATTAAATAGATTTAATTGTGTTAAGTTAGATCATTTTGGTATTTGTCTTTAATTACCATAGAAGGTGAGCCATTTATATGTTTTTTTTCTCTGAAGGAAAATAATAAAGTGGGAATCTAAAACTGTGTACAGGCATACAGGTAGAGCAGGGGAAGGATACTGTAAAATCTCCATTCCCACCCCACTCCGGGGGAAGTATACTGCAAAATCCCCATTCCCTCCCCACTCCTAGGGGAAGGATATTGCAAAATCTCCATTCCCACCCACTCTGGGGCCAGCCAGAGGTGGTATTTACTGGTCTCCGAACTACTCAAAATTTCCGCTACCGGTTCTCTGAACTGCTCAAAATTTTCACTACCGGAATCTGCTGGATTTCACCCCTGAGGTAGAGGCGAAAACATATTAAGAACGATTGCAGGAACTAGGCATGGCTAGTCTAGTGAAGAGAAGGACCAGGGGTGACATGATAGCAGTGTTCCACTATTTGAGGGGCTGCCACAGAGTGGAGGGGGTCAATCTATTTTCCAAAGCACCTGAAGGCCAGACAAGGAATAATGAATGGAAACTGAACAAGGAGAGATTCAACCTGGAAATAAGGAGAAATTTTCTGACAGTGAGAACAATCAACCAATGGAACAGTTTGCTTTCAGAAGTTGTGGGAGCTTCATCACTGGAAGTTTTCAAGAAGAGACTGGACTGCCCTTTGTCAGAAATGGTGTAGGGTCTCCTACTTGGGCAGGGGGTTGGACTAGATGACCTACAAGGTACCTTCCAACTCTGTTATCTGTATATATATTTTAAAAATGTAAAGAAAGAATTCCAGATTGCTATTTGAAGTATCTTTTGAGTAAGATGGCTTTGGCAATGTGGACCTCATTTAAACCCAGTTTTATAAAGTTGTACCAAGGCAGGACAGTCCAGAAAAGGAAATGATTATTTCTAAGCTCCTTGTAGCTGGGTTACACTTAACCATGCTAAACCTCACAATGGGTCTAAGTCATGGGCTATGATTTGAATGTAAGAAAATATTTGTGGAAAATTTGGTATGAGTTCTAAGAATTATGGGCTAGTTAGGTAGCTAGCTAGAAGATGTCAGACTTATTTTCTAGTCTGCTATAATTAACAGTATATCCAGAGTCACATAGGAGATACCCATGTTTGTTAACTGGAAATTTACAGTTGAATTTAAGATCTTCTGCATGAAAACTGTGTAACAATCTTTCCTGTGCAGACTCTGCATCAAGTCATAATTTGCCAACCTCGTTAATTAGTAGACTTTTAACCTCAAAGTTTTTCTCAAATGTACAGAAAGTACAACAGTGATGATGGTGATAATTGTAATGTCCTCAATTTAGATTTCATATTATTAAGACAGTAATTAGTCGATGAGATGAGCAAAGTGTGAAAGTTCCATCTTGCTTCTGCTTTATAACTGTGTGCTATTGAACAGACTCTTTGTACTCTTAAAAAATTATTTGGAAGGAATTTACTTCTGTTTTTAAACAAGCGCTAATAATGTAATGCATCATTTTTTTTATTAATCCTTTGTTATGAGCAGAATGCCTTAGGCTACAGACATGGTAGATTTGTCACATGAAAATGAGGCTGTCTGAATTATAAACACAACTATTATTTTTGTTCTTGAATTGCAATTACAATATAGACATGTCAAGTGCCCTCAGACTGCCCATTGTACAAACGATAGTTCAATTTCTTTACTTTTCTGAAACAGACTTTCCTTCCTCATTATATGGGGGGAAAAGAGGAAGCCGTTTTACTATAGATTTTGTCGTCTGTTGGGTTTCTAAAATATAGAATAAGAGATTTGCATGGAAATTGTGAACTCTGCAAAGATGGAATGGCTACATATGACAGATACATGTTAATTTAAAAACGCTATTGTTCATCTAATTTCATTACTTGTTTATTATTGATTTCATTTATGGATTCTTGGACAACAGATCTGCTTGCTAAGAATGGATTTACAGATGTGATAATATAGGTATAAATAATCTGATTCCATCTTCTTATTTATTTACAGAAGATAAAAAGCCCAATCGGGCTTTTGAGAGCATGCAGTAAGGTCAAGTGCTTATTTCAGGGTTCAAAAAAATAAAAGACAGGGTGTTATTTTCGGGGAAACACTGCATATATAATATATATATATATATATATATATATATATATATATATAATAATAATAATTGTAAACTATACCTGAAGCATTTATTTTAATAAGTTGATAATTGGTTACTTATCCAATAAATAAGCAAAACTAGGAACATCATAATATGCCTTATATATCTGATCAAACATGTTTCCAACTGGTCAGGCCAAGAGTGAAATGATGGAATGGAATGATATAATTGTGCATTATGACATGAGGAAAACAAATGAAGCATCTCTGACATCCATAAATCCTATGGGCACCAAGCTATGACAATACTGAGTCTTTGTAAATCATATAGCAAAACTCTTATGGCAAAGGACTAACAAGATCAAAGTGGACAGTCGTAAACAGAAATCCTAAAAACTCTGACTATAATTTTAAAACTGAATAATATAACAAGAGACCTACTGAATTAGACAAAGACTTGTCTAGCCAACATTCTGACTCTAACAGAAAGCTCACAGACATCAGATCAATAGTCTTGTTTCTGTTTTCAAAACAAATGGATCCTTCATGAATGTGTTCATGAATGTTTCTGATCTTCCTTCTAAACAAGTAAATTGGTGGCAATTGCCATATCACACGGTAGCACATGTATAAAGGAACCTTCTTGCTTTCAGTCCCAATTTCCAAATCCTAAGAAGCTTCATGGAATATATATATATATATCTCCAAGTAAACAAATAGAAAAATATAAAGTATTGTAGTAACAGATTTGAGTAGAGTAGCAATCAAGTCTACTAGACTTCTAGGGTTCCATGTGGCTCTTTGGGATGGGTTGAGGATTGAATACACTTGCATTCCCTACCGTTTATAGGGGTACACACCTGTGCCTCTTGCTATGTTTTGGGTTTGTTCCAGGGGTGAAATCTACTTACCTTCCTTATTGGTTCGGAAGCGCACACATGCTTCATGTGTGTGCACATACCTTCTGCGCATGCACAGAAGGTAAAAAAGTATTACTTCCTGGTTACCCCAGTGGCAATCACTACCTGATCGCCGAACTACAGGGAAAAATTGCTACTGGATTGGGCGGTCCGGTCTGATCCGGGAGCATTTCACCCCTAGTTTGTTCCTCCTGTTTTAGTCAGTGGATTGCTTCTTGAAGCCTTTATACCATTCTGCTCTTCTTCCTATTCATGCCGTTTTTAGTAAAAAGGCCACAAGGAGTCTGCAATCTGCAACATGCCAGATGTTACTCACCTGTACCAATATTCCTACAGGATGTGATCAATATTTGGAATGCCACCTGTTGCCTATTCCTGCACTAAAATATTGACCATGTGTTTTAAATTAACTTTTTTTCATTGCTCCCTTATCTTCGGCATAGAAATTTTTACAAATGTTGAATAGTGGTGAAGAATTATACCAGTGACTTGACACTGCTGAGTTGGAATGATTAAAAGATATAGTAGCTTTAGAGTAACACAGTTTCTTATGGTCCATTTCTGCATCCCTAGTATGACTCTATTCTCACTATTACCCAATCAATCATTTTAGAAGACAATAGAGGTAGTCCTCAACTTATGACCACAACTGAGTCCAAAATTTCTGTTGCTTAAGTGAGACATTTGTTAAGGGAGTTTTGCTCCATTTTACAACCTTTCCTGCCAGAGTTGTCAAGTGAATCCCTGCAGCTAATTTAGTAACCCGGTTGTTAAGTGAATCTGGCTTCCCCGTTGGCTTTCCTTGTCAGAAGGTTGCAAAAGGTGATCACATGACCCCTGGACATTGCAACCGTCATAAATATGAGTCAGTTGCCAAGCGTCTGAATTTTGATCACTTGATCGTGGGGATGCTGCAATAATAGTAAGTGTGAAAAATATTCACGAGTCACTTTTTTCAGTGCTATTGTAACTTTGAATGGTCACTAAATGAACTTTGTAAGTTGAGCACTATTTATATACATTTCTACTTCATATTTGCACAGCTCTGAAATCAAGGGTAGGCTTCAAAAATTTTAGCAAGGGGTTCTCTGCCTGGTTGCTGGGTGGGCGTGGCCATGGTGGGCATGGCCTAGTCAACCTCCTGCACCATGGCAGGGGGGGGCATTTTTGCCCTTCCTGGGCTCCGGAGGCTTTTTTTGAGCCTCCGGGAGGGTAAAAACAGCCTCCCCAGGCTCCGGAGACCCTCTGGAGGCCGGAAACAGGCCTCCAGAACTTCCGGTAGGCCCGTTTTTCGGCCTCCCTGAGCCTTCGCATGAGTCCTGCACTTACCTGCATCCAAAACGGGCCGTATGGGGACTTCTGGAAGGGGCAGGACAGGGTGGGTGCGGCCAGCCAGGAGTGAAATTTGGGGGTTCTCCGAACTGCACGGAATCTTACCTAGAGATTCTACCAAACCCCTGCGAACCCCAGCAGCCCACCCCTGTCTGAAATACTAACCTTTTGGAATTGGTATTTTCATTATAGCATGCTGATACTCAACATTTGGAGGGGGAAATCTACTGCTTAGTATTATTTATTTCATTAGACATTATAACTAAAAATAAAATGTTTGGATAGGAAAAAACCTCTCGAACTATCAGCCCTTCTCATTTTATGAACTCCATTAACTTAGATAATAGTTTATTAACTTCTTTTTATTAAGTGTTTAATGTAGAGAACAGCTTACCTGACAGGCAAATGCAATTGGATCAGCCACTTTCTGAAGCATCTGTTCAAGCTCTCCCACTGTTGAATAGTATTCAATCTGCACTGTGGCTTTAATGTCCCCTCCACAGTAGATATTTACATTTACAAAGCCAGCAGGAAAATCTTATAAAACAGAACATTTGAAAAGCTCAGTGGAAAAAACGAAGGAAAAAAAAAAACAGAATTATTGCCAAAACCTTTCCACAGTGATTCACATTCAGAATGCTTCAGCGTTATCTATTCCAGATTGAGAAATCAACAGTTCACAGGGGAGCCGAATGTGCAAAAAAAAAAAAAAGCAGTGAGCAATGGAAGAAAAGAATCAGCAGCAGTGGAGCAAGAAGGTAGAATTAAAATATATTTGGAGGCCAGAGAACAAAGGAAAACAAAGAAAGCTTTAAAATATACAGCATACTTTGGAAACGTTTACAGACATTTCAATGTGCCTCGGGGTGGAGAAGAATTTCCAGCTTCACACAGGTGATAATCTATGTATTAATTCATGTCATGAAAAATAAGGTAAAGGTAAAGATTCCCCTCGCACATATGTGCTAGTTGTTCCCAACTCTAGGGGGCGGTGCTCATCTCCGTTTCAAAGCCCAAGAGCCAGCGCTGTCCGAAGACGTCTCCGTGGTCATGTGGCCAGCATGACTAAACACCAAAAGCACACGGAACACTGTTACCTTCCCACCAAAAGTGGTCCCTATTTTTCTACTTACATTTTTTATGTGCTTTCGAACTGCTAGGTTGGCAGAAGCTGGGACAAATAACAGGAGCTCACCCCGTTACGTGGCACTAGGGATTCAAACCACTGAACTTTGTGTGTCGACCTTTCGATCGACACACTCAGTGTCTTAGCCACTGAGCCACAATGTCCCTTTTGTAATGAAAAATATGATAAGCCAAATTTGCATGAATTTGTGTCCAGTCCCTGGACTTCCACACCACAATCCTATTTGATGGCACTTTTTTTTTTTTTTGGTGCCTTTAAGTGAGATTTTGATTCCTGACAACTACTCCATTTAGCCCCTGAAATTTTCTTGGTAATATTTCTGAAGTGGTTAGCAAGTCCACCGAGCTGGCTTTGTGCTCAGAACTCAGTTTTTTGTTTTCTTTCTAGCCTGTTGCCTTAACTGTTCCACCAAGTTGGTTCTCTTGGTAGCACCTATAAAAACATCTTTAAAAAGCAGTTGAGAGAAAATAGTCTTTAATAGGGCAGATTAATTTTTGATGGTTGCAAGTTTTGCGGCATGTAGTATTTTTTGGAGGGAGTTGAGTGCCGCAAAATGGCTATGGCTATATAATCACCATACAGGCAATTTTAGATTTGGGAAAAAATTCTTTTTTTAAAATTATAATAGGCACATGTTAGGGCTTATTTTTAATATGTTTTCCATCTCATAATAAAGATGCGATGTTAATTTTTTAGCAATGGTCCAAGACATGCAAGAGCCACAAAGTTTCACTTTCTACATTGGGCAATCCTTTGTTCAACTAAGCTGAAACCACTGATTTATTAAATATTACTTAATGTCACGATCGAAAAGAATAAGCAGAAGTCTGAGACACACTATAAAACATCAAAATATGGCCAAATATATCAGTGCAAATAAATGACAAAAGAACTTGAAAAATTCCCCGCATGGAACAAGACAATATCTTCATAAACGTCATGCAGTGATAATAATATGTGCTACAGATTTATGCTGTGTTGCTCTAAATAATATGTGCAGTGGGAACTGATTAAGTCTAGCAAACTATGACTAATGAATGACATTTTAAAGACTGTCAACTGCCATCTTATCATGGCTAAACAACCAAATGCCTCCAGTTTTTGATAAGTCAAAAACTTTTATGCTTCTGATTTAATAAAGTAGAATTTGATAAGTCAAAGCTCATGCATAAAAATAGTATTGAATTATAATGGGAAATACTGTATAACATTCCATTACATTATATTTGATGTCTTTATTTTCCTTGAACTAGTACCAACTCTTACCTAGAGCTTTGATGAACCTGACTTTCTGATTCCAAAAATCTGGTTCAATCCTGATCCATTCATTTTCCGTTATAAATTCAATGACTACTGAATCTCCAGGAACATCTTCTCTTAAAATAATGAAGATCTCTCCAGGACACTGTAAAGTATGAGTTGTGTCCAATTATTCCGTTGGGTCAATAAATTAAATCTATACAACGTGAACGACATATTTTCATGGAAGTTGTTTAAAACCTTAGCAGAAGAACGTATGTTATCCAGCTACATATTTTTTATAAAGCGATTATTTGGCCTGCATGGGAACATGGATTATTTCAACAAAACATTAGTTCTTTGTACTAGGATGCACCCTTGAACTGATTTTAGGGCAGTTTAGGACAGGGGCCAGCAACCTTAAACACTCAAAGAGCCACAAAGCCCCCCTTTCAATTTTGGAACTGACCAGAAGCCTGGTTTCTCCATCATAGAGTCTCCTCCTAGCACAGATATACTTATTTATTTATTTATTTATTTATTTATTTATTTATTTATTTATTTATTTATTTGTTCGATTTATATGCCACCCTTCTCCAGAGATTCAGGGCGGTTTACAATGTGTTAAGCAATAGCCTTCATACTTTTGTATATACCTGCTTAGTAGGGCTTTTGGCCCCCCCTAAGCAGTGTTCTTTTTTTATACATAGTCAGTTTATTGCCCCCACAATCCGGGTCCTCATTTTACCTACCTCGAAAGGATGGAAGGCTGAGTCAACCTTGAGCCTGGTGAGATTTGAACTCACAGTAATTGCAGGCAACTGGCAGCTAAGTGCTACTTTAACAGCACTTTAGTCCACTGCACCACCAAGGCTCTTTATTTTTTCCTTTGCTGATTGGAAGTCCGGTTCCAACACCATAGAGTCTCCTCCTAGCATGGCATCCTTTTTCCTCTACCTAGCCTAACCGAAAGCCCTATCAATTGAGGAGCTGACCGGCAACAGGGAGCCGCAGCTGAGGAATGAAAGAGCCACATGCAGCTCCAGAGCCATGGGTTGCCGACCCCTGGTTTAGGGCAATAGTGAACTCAGATTGTAGGACTTTGTCATAGTCAGATCACTTTCTTTGGAGAAGTAGATTTCTAGATGGCTATTTTATTCCCCCTCCCTTTTTTTCAGTAAATGGATTAGACATTGTGGCATATTACAGACTAATAACTGTTGTAACAACAACCCTAACCATAACCCTAAACATAACTGATTTCATGATGAAAAATTGAGAGAAATGAAGAATAATATAATGTTGGAATAAATATCCATCTGGTTCAGTTCCAAGCTGGGAGAAAGACACTGGAAACATGGAGGCTGATTGGAAAGATGGTTTAATGATGAAACAGAACCCCATGAATTCTGATGCAGCTGACCACATGGAATTGAGAGTGAGCGGTTTTTATACCTTCTCTTGGGTTTTGAACTTGAGCTTCCTGTTCCTGTGCAAGAACATGTATTCTATTGGCTGTTGTCAGACTCCCATAGGGCCATGTAGGGATCAAGTTAAATTTGTTTGAGGTTTGGGCTGCTGTGAGATGATGCAATAAAGAGGCTTATGTTCTTGAAAGGGTGTTGAGCAATTCCTATTGTGTCCTAATGGCTTTCCTCCTGTTTTGGATCTTTGGTGAGGGTATGTGCCTATGAATAGAGCTATCTATCTCTTTATCTCTTAAGTGCTGACAACTGCTGAGTGCTATTAAGAAAGGTGGGGGCTGCTTTCTCTCTCTAAAAAAACATGTTTCTCTATTTCTCATCCAGGGAAATATAATATTCTGCCTTTTTAATATTCCTCAAAATATTTCATTCTTCTAGGAGAGGGGTAGCTTCTCACAATAAGAATCATGATAGATTCTGAAACAGAATTCACTTGATCCAAATGATCCCTTCCACAGAATAAAATATTCCATAGAATAAGCTAAGAAGCAGAATAGACTATTTCTGCAGAAAGCAGCCCTAATATTTCCTCCAATAAAACAGCCTGCAGGCAAAGCTAAAGGAAACTAATTTTCATCCATAAAACAATATTTACATTTTAAAACCAGGCTTGGCTAAAGAGATCTCCAAATAGACAACATAATAGACCAGGAACTAAAACTAGCTATGCAGACAAGATTAAATCAGGAAAACAAAACTCTTGGGATTTACATTTTCCCTTTGCCCTTAAGGCCAGTCAAGACCTCACATGCCACAATAGAAAATCTCATGAAGACAATTAAAATATTATATCCAGTCTAAAGAGAAGGAACACATTTTCATACAAATATCAGCATACCAATAACAAAGAACATATAAAAACACTCTAACTCACAACTGTACTTTGCCAGCTGCTGCCCCCAGGAATGCCTGCTGTTGTCACTGTTGTTACTGGGCCAATAAACAGAAATCTCCTTTCCAGTTGCAGCCTGCCTCAAACTTATTTTTCCTTTGCGTGAATCCTTCTCCCAGTTTGGAATAAGACACAGACCAGATTTAACTTCTAGACAATTGTTTGAAGGCAGTCAATGCTTAAATTTAGAATGAGTTTCATGTACAATAATATGAGAGTATATAATTATTGGTAGTATAGGTTTATGTTATTGTGAGGACATATAAATAACAAGATATAGCTTCATGAAGTTTATCTTAATTTAGTATCATGGTTAAGATAAGGGTAAAATGGTAGACTGTTTAAATAACATAGGGAGTTAGAGACAGTGTTAGTATTTGTATGGGCATTTGGGTAAGACACAGGTAGAGTTAGGCTTCTTTGAGATTTATGGTAATATTTAATAGAGGGTTATATTTATGGCAGGGGTGAAATCCAGCAGGTTCTAACAGGTTCTGGAGAACCGGTAGCGGAAATTTTGAGTAGTTTGGAGAACTGGCAAATACCATCTCTGGCTGGCCCCAGAGTGGGGTGGGAATGGAGATTTTGCAATATCCTTCCCCCAGGAGTGGGAGGGAATGGGGATTTTGCAATATCCTTCCCCCAGGAGTGGGGTGGGAATGGAGATTTTGCAATATCCTTCCCCCAGGAGTGGGGAGGGAATGGGGATTTTGCAGTATCCTTCCCCTGCCATGCCCACCAAGCCACGCCCACAGAACTGGTAGGGAAATTTTTTAGATTTCACCCCTGATTTATGGTGAGTTTTTACAATGTGTGTCAATTGTACATTTATATTAGAGTCAGAAGTAAGTGCTCAAAGCAGGATTAGCATTACTATTTGCATTGACGTATAGGTTTATATTTAAACTTCATTCCTGGCTAATGTAACAGTGCCATACAATAATATTAACATTTCCTTCTCCTTCTCCTTCTCCTTCTCCTTCTCCTTCTCCTTCTCCTTTTTATTATTTTAGTGTGATAGAATGAGTCTTTATAGGTAGTAGTACTGTTAGGTTTATGTTACTACAGGAGGTTAGGGTCCTAGAGTTGATTTTAGGGGTTAAGGTTGTGGCTCTGGTTAAGGTAAAATTAGGGTTAGTGTTAGGCATTGCAGAAGACTGCTGCAAAAAAAAAAAAAGATTCTTGTGAAAGTTGCAAAAAAAAAAAAAAGCGATTAAAGGTTTAAAATGTCTTTCTATCTCTTGATTTGCTGTTGCACCATGAGTTTTAGGGCTAAAATGAGTGCAGCAACAAATTTGCAAGCTTACTGATTTTGACAGGATCTCTCAAAGACAAGATCTCTTAAGAAGCAATGGATTGAAACTAAGATCAAGGAGAGAACCAACCTAGAACTAAGGAGAAATTTCCTGACAATTAGAACAATTAATCAGTAGAGTGACTTGCCTCCAGAAGTTGTGAGTGCTCCATTGGAGGTTTTTAAGAAGAGATTGGATAACTGTTTGTCTGAAATGGTATAGGGCTCTGATGGCGAGCCTATGGCATACATGCCACAGGTGGCACGCGGAGCCATATCGGTGGGCACGCGAGCTCAGCTCTGGCGCACTGATTTTCAGGTCTTCTGGGCCCACCAGTCAGCAAATGGGCCATTTTCAGCCTCTGGAGTGCCTCCGGGGGTGGGGGTGGGGTGGGGAAGGCTGTTTTTGCCCTCCCCAGGCTCCTAGAAAGGCTCTGGAGCCTGGGGAAGAGTGAAAAACGGGTCTACCAGGCCCACTGTACCATTACGTGCCAAAAGCGGGGGGAGCATGGTGTGTGTGTCATGTGTGCATACGCGGGGGGCGGGGCGCATAGAATTATGAGTGTGGGCACGCGTGTGTGTGACCCCCCTGTGCTCCACCCGCTTTTGGCATGCGATGGCAAAAAGGTTAGCCATCACTGGTATAGAGTTTCCTGCCTGAACAGGGGATTGGACTAGAAGACCTCTAAGATCCCTTTTCATTCTGTTATTCCCAAAAGATTTAAAAAGAATCACATTATCATATCTATTTAGCAGAGATTCAGTTGAAAAAATTGAGTCTTGCTCCCTTATCCTAAGCTAAAGTTTAACCCCCTCACCCAGCCAAGCAGAACTTTGGGGAGGCTTATTTATTTGTGTGCACTTTTCTTTCAAATGGAATAAAAAGAATGCATTTGTGGGGAGTGCATTTTCTTTAACTGAGCTTACCTCGCATGGGATCCTTTTTGGCAACACTAACACCTCTGGCCTTCCCACCATCTCGTTCACCTCCACAATTTCCACACTTCCATCATTTAGCCTCAAGCTCCTTTCTAGGTCCGAAGATAAGGGATCGTGTGCACCTGCCAAAGATATGATTTTAAGACATAGAGTCATATTTGGGTTAATGAGTGCCAAAGCCATCTCCCACCAGCTGAAGTATTCCTCAGTTGTGAAATTGCATATTAACTGGTGGTCTTTGAGCAGAATTATTTGTATGATGTGCTATACTTTGTCTTTGATTTATAATTAGGCATTTGTCATAAATGCCTCTTTTTCGGTTGACTTTTGTGGGTATTCCCTGTGCAGGCACCAAAATAAAACAGGTAAAGTCCCAGGAGATTGCAAAATCTAACACCTGAGGTGTTAGTGTCCTCATTAGAAATGACTAATTGGATTTAGGTGTCAACCAAAAAAAAAAGAGGGAAGTCACAATCTAAATGCATCATTGGAAGTTGGTAGGTGGTAGTTGAGTTACAACCTATTATGATTAAACAACAATGAATTTAATTTCAAGATCTCCTTTTGCACGATAGTGAACACATATAGCCGTTTACCAGCTATATCTGTAATGGCTTTCCAGAAATATTAAAACCTTTTTTCTACAAAACTCTCCAAGTTTATGTTCCAGCTGTCAGATTTGGAATCAAATGGATCATTAAGCCAGAGCATTATGGAGAAATGTTCAAAGAAAAGAAAACTATATCGGATGAGAAATTCAACATTGTCTAAATTTCTCCATAGCAAACTTCAGTTTTAGATTCAAGTCGTCGTGATTACATTTTCAAGCAAGAGTTGTACTTTGGGCCAAAAATATAGTTTAAAACAAAATAAATCCATAAGAATGGTAGCTTAGTTGAGATTATTTGGGCCTCTGCATACTTATACAGCATTATAGGGTAATAGAATTTTACCAGATAATCCACATCTTATTTACCATAAACAGGCTCATAAATCCCTATCAGCATAATTAGTATGCCATCACAGACTCTTTTTCATCATCCCCAGGTCTGAGCAAATCAATTGCTTTCACATCTGTCTTTTTCTTTTATTTCCCCAAAGAATTCCAATATCATATTGTTTTTCATTTTCCAACTTGCATACTAACCTTTTCCTTTCCTCCAGCTCTTGCACAATTCACATTAGTCAATCAATCCACATTGATTGCTGGCTCTGGAGCGTTCCCCATCTGTCTTTGCTTTATTGGATATACTGTTTACTTTCTTACCATTTGTCTTGTCAGGGATTTGCCCTATTCTCTTCAATATGGCCCTTTCTTTTTTTTTTCTTTTTTTCATTCAAGAGCTGTACTTCCTATCCAGTCAGCTTTCATTATTGATCTATTAAATTGATAATATGAAACCCTTCTTTTTTTAAAAAAAGTCTTATTTTAATAGCCACAATCTTCTTTTCCTGTTGCAAATCAATGATTTCCCCCCCCACAAAGTCTCCATCATAACATCTATCAGGTTGGCCCTGGTTAGTGCTTAGGTGAGAGACTACCTTGCAAGGTTAAACTGAAGGCTAGTTGAAAAGTTGAAAACTGAAGACAGTGGCAAGAGCCAGTTTAGTCAAAAAGTTAAAGAACGGTTGCTGGAATTGGGTATGTCCAGTTTAATGAAAAGAAGGACTAGGGGTGACATGATAGCAATGTTCCAATATCTCAGGGGTTGCCACAAAGAAGAGGGAGTCAAACTATTCTCCAAAGCACCTGAAGGCAGGACAAGAAGCAATGGGTTGAAACTAATCAAGGAGAGGAGCAATTTAGAACTAAAGAGAAATTTCCTGACAGAACAATTAATCAGTGGAACAACAATTTACGAGACCGCCTTCTGCCACTAGTAGCCTCTCACCGACCAGTACGCTCCCATAGAGAGGGGCTCCTCAGGATGCCATTGGCCAAACAATGTCGACTGGCGGCCCCCAGGGGAGAGCCTTCTCTGTGGGGGCACCCACCATCTGGAACGAGCTGCCCCCGGAGATACGGAGGATCCTGGACCTGCATGCTTTTCGCCGTGCCATCAAAACATTTCTTTTCCAGCCTGGCCTAACCCTTCTTTTAAACTTTTTAAAATTTTAAAATTCTTCAATTTTAAATTTGTCTTATGAATTTGGGGTGTTTTAAATTTTGTTTTCCGGGCCAATTATTTAATTGTATTTTAATGCTTTTTAAACATTTGTATTATATGTATTTTATCTGGCTGTTCACCGCCCTGAGTCCTTTGGGAGTAGGGCGGTATACAAATTCAATAAACAATAATAATAATAAATAATAACTTGCCTCCAGAAATTGTGAAGGCTCTAACACTGGAAATTTTAAAGAAGAGATTGGACAACCATTTGTCTGAAATGGTATAGGGTTTCCTGCCTAAGCAGGAGGTTGGACTAGAAGACCTCCAAGGTCCCTTTCAACTCTGTTATTCTATTATTTTACTAAAGCACCAGTTTAGAAACTAGGAGACTGTGAGTTCTAGTCCCACCTTAAGCATGAAAGCCAGCTGGGTAACTTTGGATCACTCATTCTCTCTCATACAGGGTTGTTGTATTGGAGAAAATAGGAGGGGGAAGGAGTATTATGTTCGCTACCTTATTTATAAAAATAATAAAGGCAGAATAAATATTAATAACATAACACCCCAGGCTTAACAATTGTTGATAAGAAAGACAAAAAAGTCTGGATAGTGGATGCGGCAGTGCCTGGAGACAACGGAATAGAAGAGAAATAACTGAAATAACTGAAAAAGATAACAGAATACAAAGACCTTCAAATAAAAATAGAATGATTGTGGCAAAAGAAAGCAAAGGTGGTGCCAATAGTAATAGTGCCTTGGAAGCAATCCCAAAACAATTGGAGCACCACTGGCATTGACAATTCCACTCTCAGTCAATTGCACAAGGCAACTTTAATTGGAACAGCTTACATCCTGCGACGATATTTGTAACATCCTCAAACATCCACATCTGCCTATCCTAGCTCCTTAGGATGGACTCGATTGGTGAACAAAAATGCTAAATCCAATCTGAACATCTGGCTGACTGTGCAACGAGACATAATAAAAATCACTTCCATATCATGCCACAAAAGCTGCACAGATGCACCTATATAAGTCACCAATGTCAATTGAAGGTTGACTTGGGTTTGCTCGTATTATTTCATAAATTAATAGCTAATCCAAATCTCAGACTCCTCCCCCAACTTCGTAAAACTTGCTATTTATTTATTTAATTGATTTATTTGCATCCTGCCTTTATTATTTCTACAAACAACTCAAGGTGGCAAACATACTCAACAAACCTTCGTCCTCCTATTTTCCCCACAGCAACCTTGTGAGGTGGATTGGGCTTACAGAGAGTGACCTGCTATGCCTTGGTCAACCATGATGTTCTATATATGAAGCATAAGGAACGGAAGGCTGTTTTTAATAATAATCTGGGAGGGATTGAATAAATTGAAGCAGTGATGAAATCCAAATTTTTTTACTACCGGTTCTGTGGACGTGGTTTGGTGGGCATGGTGTGGCTTGGTGGGCCTGGCTTGGTGGGCGTGGCAAGTGGAAAGATACTGCAAAATCCCCATTCCCTCCTCTCTCCTGGGGGAAGGATATTGCAAAATCTCCATTCCCACCCCACTCTGTGGCCAGCCAGAGGTGGTATTTGCCGGTTTTCCAAACTACTCAAAATTTCCGCTATCAGTTCTCCAAACTGCTCAAAATTTCCGCTACCGGTTCTCCAGAACCTGTCAGAACCTGCTGGATTTCACCCCTGGATTGAAGCAAGGGAGAATGTCGCCACGAACTCTGAAACTGGAGCAGAAATTTAACAGCTAAGCTAGAATCTTGCTCCCTGATAATTTAATTTTTAAGTGTATGTTGAAACGCTCCTCTCTGTTACTTTCTAATACTCTCAATTACTTGCTAACACTCTATTTAGTCTGAGTATTAAGCTGTTAAGTAGGACTCTCCCATTTAAATACTACAGCAAACATTTACTGTCTAGAGATTACTATCATAAAATTGTACTTTTAGAAAAACGGCTGTGCATTTGAACCGTAAATGTGACATCCTCTGAAGCCAACAGCAGGTAAATCAGGACAGGTAGCACAAATATTATAAAAACAAAGATGGCACATTTAACTACATGTTGAGTGCTATCATATAAAAAGGGATATGAGCCACTTCTCCATAGACTCACGTGTGTGTGTGTGTGTGTGTGTGTGTGTGTGTGTGTGTGTGTGTAGATAGACATAGATATAGATAATATAGATATAGATGCATACAAACAAGTCATCCTGTTAGGTGCCAGTTCATCAATACATTAGCCACCTTTTAAAGTAGGAAATCTTTTGGAAAGTAAGTAGTTTTAGAGATGGATATATTTAATAATTCATGATTTCTTGAAAACCATAAAATATTGAACAAAGACCTGGGGGATACAATAATGCATACCAATTAGTAGAAAAATAATTTACCTCTAATTTCGTAGGTTGAGAAAGTCTGCATTGAATGACATGTTTCTCTTGGGTTATGTAAGGAAATCTCCCAAGCATTAATAGCTGCATTATAGTACATGAACAGTGAAGCGGTCCACCACTAGATGGCGTAGCAGAGACATTTTTATTGCAAGAAGAATGTTCCCATTTATTCCCACCACCCCCGCCTCACATTTCTTTATAACGAGCTAGTTCTCTTAGCAGGATTAGTAAAAATCAGAAGCTCACATGCCAGGCAAAAGGAATACAGAGGACTAAAACACTATCATTTCTGTTCACTTGTAGAAGACAAAAACTCAGTTATTAGCCTATTCTATCTTTCCCATAGCCCAAGGAAGAATGTGTGGGTGGTAGAAATGTAGGTGGATAAATACAGGCACGTGTCCCATACTGTCCCATATTCAGAAAACATTCAGGATCAGCATTTTCATCCTGATATGAAGCAAATGAAAGAAATACAAATGCATGAAAACCTTCTTTGTCCTACATTACTGACATTGAAGAATTTGATATTGAAGATACCAGATCAGAGAATTTTTGGTAGATGGGAGACGATACCTTCTTTAGTTCCTTATTCTCCTGTCTTTAGAAAAG